CTTTGTCATATAGATGTGCTTTGCCACAGTGGCAGCTCGCTAAAAGAAGTGGAGCGTCCAGTTCTCTGAGGCACATTCTTCTTTCCTTTTGTTAAATTTTTAATCAAGTGTTTCAAACTGTTTACCACATTTGTTTACCACAATTTACCAGCCGGTGCAATGTGGTTAGCCTGACTTGGCTGTTTTGTTAGTGTGTGTGTGTGTGTGTGTGTGTGTGTGTGTGTGTGTGTGTGTGTGTGTGTGTGTGTGTGTGTGTGTGTGTGTGTGTGTGTGTGTGTGTGTGTGTGTACGTACGTACATGCCTGTGTGTCCCTGGGCTCTCTTTGGTATCACTGAGGGTTATTTTTCCTCAACGCAAGCAAACAACTCTCATCTCTTTAACGAGTGTTCCCGCTGCTGTACCTATGAGTGCTTGGCAGGGATTGCTTATCACACTCCACTCATCCAAACAATGATGCAAACTTTGGACATAACCACAAAAAAGATGCATTTATTGCCTTTAAACGGCACACATGCAATTAAAACATGCAACTCTCACTCAACAAAGGACACCAGCTTGGTAAACATCCCCACTACCAGCCTGATAAGAGTTAACTGATGTCAAAGAGTTCCTTATTCCAAACAAAAGCGTTTTCAGTCATAGGGAAAACTGTCTTGGTGGGGGATTTTTATTATTGTGATACTCTGCAGACTTAAGCTTGAGTTAATGTCAGTCTACAAAACTCCATTTCTGACCATAAAAGTGCTAAATTATATCCTTCCATCCATTTTCTGAACCCGCTTGTCCATGTAGAGTCGCAGGGGCTAAAGTATATGATAAATAATTTAATTCATTGGAGATTATTTATGAAACAATGATGATGCAGAGAAACAAGAATTTGTGCTGGAATTTATGACCAATGGCCATCTGTATTCACATACATTTAAGATTAAATACTCAGTAAGATTCAAAACGTGAAAATATCACGATACATATGTATTTTTTATTTTAAGTTGGCACTAAATAGAAAAAATTATGCCAAAAGGAAATTTAGTAAAAAACACAAGATTATGATTGGCCGTCTTACCAATGGTTCAGTTGTACAACTTTTAACGGCTGCACTTCTAAAAAGAACAGTGGGATTAACAGCAGAGCGTACAGAGAAGATAATCACGCAAGTTCTCCAACAAAATATTCTCTATAACAGGGTTATTCAATTCTGGGCCTTGAGGGCCGGTATCCATCAGGTTTTAATGGTTTCTCTGGTCCAACACACTAGATTCAGTGGTTGAATCACTTGTGCAGCAGCTCATCAGGCTCTGCAGAAGCCTGTTAATCACGTGATTGAAATCAGGTGTGTTGAAACTGGGTTAAAGCTAAAATGTGCTAGATTCCAGCCCTCAAGCCCTGGAATTAAATAATCCTGCTCTATGATGTAAAAATGTATATAATTCATTCATTCATTTCATTTCATTTTAATTTTGAGCCGGTAATTTGCTGTAAAATAAACAATTAACAACAGAAATTACAAAAATAAGATATCAGCACAGTTGATATTGATTGATGAAATAAATATCTGCAGGTCTCGTGTTGCTGTTGAGTGTAGTTAGACTTTCTGTTTGGCGTTATGGTTGCTCTGTGATAGGGTATTAGGAGGTGAGACCATTCAGTTTCACTGCACTTGGTGCATTTACATACTCATCAGAAAACTGAACTATTGCCTTTAATAGACTGGTGTCGTTTTTTAATTGCATGCACTTGTGTTAATCTTTCTGATGGCGGACTGGTTCTAATCGTGCTGAAACACCCAGATAAAGCGATAGGAATCCAGCCTCATTTGCATGTAAACGGCCATTGCCACAAAGTAACACAACAATACAGTACGTACCAAATAAGCTGTGCTGCAGCGATGTTGTTGTCCATTCCTTCGGCCATTGTGCATATCCTGTTTTAACTTCGTCAGTTTCTCTCCTACCAGCGTTTGTTTACTATTTGTGTTGCTGTAAGCTAACCGGAAGATTGCCGAAATGACAGGGCGCATGTCGCCACCTGCTGTATTGGAGTGGAACAAGCTTTGTGAGTTTGGTGTTCTAATGTACATGTAAACTAGGATAAAGGCTCCCAGGTTATTTCTTTAGATGACCTAGATTGACTTAGATGCTCATGTCAACGCAATGACTCACTTTTGGGCATTCCAGTGTGTGAAAGACATGATGTCTGATATCAATGTTAATGGCATACACTGGGTCCTTCAAAGGATGCTTTGTGTTTGTGTTGCTGGATGCGGTTACATGGCCATGAGGCAACTCGATACACATTTGTACAGAGAAATCCAAATACATGCACCACTCATATCTATGTACACTACATTGATGAAACCATTAGGAAATCTGCCTTCATGCACACATGCATTTTAGTGAAATCCCATTGTTTTCCCAACTTGAACAGCAACAACAGCTTCACCTCTTCTGGGAAGGCTTTACACGTGGTCTAGGAATGTGTGGGAATTTTTGACCATTCTTCCATTTGGTCGTGCACTGATGCTGGATAAGATAGCCAGAAAGCCACGGTCCAGTTTCTCCACATATAACATATCCTTTAACGTCTTTATTTGAATTGTGAATTGATTATTTAGTGGCTATGTTGACAGCATAGTTTACATCTAGTCCTACCATATGAGTGACGAGTGAGTGTTCTGATGTGTGTCTACTTTTAGATTTTGTTGCATTCAGTTAGATGCATTCGTTGGTCACCAAACAAGATGAATATTTTGTTGCCCTGATAGAAACTCTGTGTTCTTGTTAAGACCTCATTCCATCACCTAAAAGCTTGTCAAGAATAACAACATAGCTTGTGGTTGACACATAAGCCACAGGAAGCACGATACAACTCATTGCACAAGTGATGGATGCACTCCAGAGGATGTGGAAATGTGTGTTCAAGAAAGTTCATTTGCCCAATTAAAGTATTCCACCATTTTGTAAAATAATTAGGACAACACAAACTAGGATTTCTTCCTTCCTGAGTGCGGTTTTTTTTTCGTACTGTAAAATATCCTCCAGCTACTTTAACCAGTCAGTCTTTCCTTTTCTAGTGTATGTTTTGTAGAGTCACACAGCAAGACCAGGTGTGCAGATCAACCTTATCTAATAGCTGTAGGGTGTGTGTGTGTGTGTGTGTGTGTGTGTGTGTGTGTGTGTGTGTGTGTGTGTGTGTGTGTGTGTGTGTGTGTGTGTGTGTGTGTGTGTGTGTGTGTATATTAGGTTCCATTAGAGGAACAGGTTGCCTGCCTCCATATGTGCGCAGTGTGCAGGGAAGCTGGGAAAACAAGGTTCTCTGTGGCCATCAGTGTTATTGCTACCTCCTGCCTCCCCGAGTCGTGTTTGAAGACAGGAAATAGGAGTCAGACCGCAGTCCGAAGGGCATGTGGCAATGGTTTATACTCAGAGAACCTCCGACCTTTCCTCTCCACCCCCAGTCACTCTCACACCACTCCCAGGGCCCTCAAATATATTCTCCCCTGAGCCTGGGCTCGAAAATAAAACGTCTTGACCCAGCCCAGCCTGGCTCTGCCCGACCTGACCAAGCCCAGCACAATAGACACCGAGCTCAGAGATTTGTTTGAGTGAGCAATGAAAAACAGATGGAGTGCAAAGGAAAGGACTGAGAGATGCGGGTGAGCTGGAGGTGGAAAGAAGGGGAGTCTTGTAAAATATTTTCGAAGAAAAATAACCCAGAGAGGTTGTCTAATTATATCTATTTGTCTTGTGTGGTTTTGCTGGGGAGGCCATGTGGTCTCCCCCGACTGCTCCTTGGTTCATTTTTCATATTATCTGATCTTGGATGGAGAGCAACAAAGAGGAGGGGGGTTTTGGGGGCAGTTTGAGTCTCACTGGGATGGTTGCGGTGAGGTGGCTGGACTCGAAAAACAAAATGCGGTGAAAGCCTCTGAGGTCCTGGAAGTTTCATGTCTTTGATTGGTTCATTGTCCTCCACCAAGTGTAATGACAGGAATTACTCAGAAGTTTGCTTTCTAATCTAACAGCGACCATCCATCTTCATCAGTTACACTTCCATTCACACACATGCTGTTTTTCTGTAGAACACAATCTTTTTGTGTCTGTATCTTGAGTTTTTAGGCACAACTGTAGCCAAAGGTGACAGGATTTCTTTAACAAACCAGGTTTAGTACTAAAAATCCATGTCAACATTCTTCTGCGTCCTTTTGTTCCCTAAGCATGCTCACCAAGCACATCTACCACTAGACAGTCTGTGTGTCGATGTTCTCTGTCAGCCACTGGCTTCTGATCACCTCACTCTGTCCCGATCTGTCCCGTCCCCGCCTGCTTGTCCCTCAGCAGGCAGCCTGTTGATTGTTGCATGACTTTTTTTTAATTTGGGGTTTTTGGACTTCAGATGGACGTCCCAGTTTGCTGATTTTCTTGCCCTTGACTCACGGCACTGCTCAAAGTTCACAATCATCAAAAGTCGAAGAGAAAGAGCAGTTCACGGCGGTTGACTGCGCTAATCAGGATAATAATGATGTCATGGCTGGTGACATCATCACAGTGTGCCAGCCAGCAGAACAAAAGAGGACTCTGCCCAGTTCCTCGCCGCCTTGGCAGGAGCAAAAAGAGAGCGGGAGAGTCCAAAGATTGATGTTTCCATTCGGCTTTCAGTTTAATTCTGCCTCTTTATTCGCATATTCAAATTTTTCTGCGAGCGTTTGTGAGGAGGAAAATATTTAGATTTGTTCTGCTACTTTATATCTCTATTACTGCTTGGAATGAAAGCGCTCTCTGTGTCACTTCATGCAGGATATCCGGTGATTTGGCTCCCCACTCCAAATCAAAGCTATTTAAAGTGTATTGTTCTCAAAGATGCCTGTGCCTAGCCTCTGTCTTCTCTCTCCTCTCTCTCTCTCCACCCTCTTGTCTCCTTTTTCGTCCTTCTGCATCTCCTCCTCCCTCATCCTCGCTTTCTTCTTTGCTTGCATACATCTCTATCTGTCCTCATGCAGGACTCGGAGAAAAAGGGCTTCATGAACAAGCTTTATGCCATTCAGGACGTGTGCATCAGTGTGCAGAATGCACTGGATGAAGTGGCCTCCTATGGCGAGAGGATAAAGAAGTGAGTCGTAAGCCCGATCCTCGGCACTCAGCCCGCTTCCCTTTGCCTCGCTTCACATCTCCCGGAGTTTAGTTCAGTTTTTTTTCTTGCTTTGGTTTTTTCTGCACTGCCTTCTGCCAGCCTGAGTGTAACTCTCAGTGTAACGACTCAAACTCAACAAATGACCCTTAAATCTCGTTACCATTGACGTGACCTTTAACGCAAAAGATCATAATTACATATATTTTGTTGCCTCCTCTGTTTTTCTGAATCATACTGAAGACATTTAGGTAAAACAAAGTGTGAATTAGTTTTTTACTGCAAAAGCTGAACGGTGAAAGTTTGGATAAACATTTCCTTTTCTGACTCCACTTCTCCACCTTTCTGCAGCACCTTTAACTGGACTGTGCCTTTCTTAAGCTGGCTTGCGATCGTGGCTCTTGGAGTGGCCACCGTCATCATTTATTTCATTCCCCTTCGATTCATCGTGTTGATCTGGGGTGAGCTGCACGTGGAAAGTTACATTTCAACAAAAAATCAGAGTTTTGGTTTTAGTTCCAGGATTTTTTTTCCTACATGCATGTTGGGGAAAACAAACACAAACTAGATTTCCAAAGAGTGAAAAACACTTGTAGAGAAATGTTCAAGGGGTAGCAACATTTCTCCTCTACCTGCACTGACTGATTTATTTTTATTCCACAGGGGTGAATAAATTCACCAAGAAGCTGAGAGACCCTTACACCATTGATAACAACGAGCTGTTGGACTATCTGTCCAGAGTACCCTCAGATGTTCAAGTGGTGGGTGACTCTTCTGTTGTGATGTGTGTTTGTTAGTTGAAGGAAAAGTTAAACCGCTGTCCGTCTCTGTATTTTTCTTCCTCTTGTTTCTAATTTTTTATTACTTTTTAATCTATTAGATGAACAAACCTTTTTGTCCAAGCAGACAACAAATCTAATTATTTCAAAGCGGTTTCTGTGTTTTTTTCTCTTAATAACTTCCTAGACTAATTTAATTTCCTCTTACATGGTTGGAACTGAGTTGGAAGATAACAACGTTAAGTGAGTTTAGTGTCCATGGTTGAGTGACTCCATACACTAGTTATTGCTAGTGATTGGAACGCAGCGTAAATCAACGTTTTATCGGCCCCTTTCAGTTGGACCAGATGAAGTCTGAGACGGAGGACTTAACATGCCTGTTCTGTGTGTGTGTGTGTGTGTGTGTGTGTGTGTGTGTGTGTGTGTGTGTGTGTGTGTGTGTGTGTGTGTGTGTGTGTGTGTGTGTGTGTCAGTTGTAACATGCTGTGCAAGGCAAGATGAAGTGCGGTGTAAACACCAATAAAACGGCAGTTTGTTAAAGTTGTGGTGCTGCCTAGCACCAACGTTGTTCACAGTGGCTGTTAAGCCCTGTTCAGCCGATTTCAACACACACACACACACACACACACACACACACACACACACACACACACACACACACACACACACACACACACACACACACATGTCTGTCTTTCTGTCATAGTGAGGATGCTCCATTGACTTCCATTCATTTTTGTGATTTCACCATGCCTAGCCCATACCCCAACCCTAACCATAATCAACATTGATCTATTACTAACCTTAACCTTCACTAAAACTTAATTCACACTATACCTCTAACTGGTATAGTAAGCTTCTGGTATGCTTCTAAAAAAAGTGAGGACCAAAAAACTTTCCTCACTTTGTCAGGAAAGTGGTCAAAATGGTCCTCAGCATATAGTATGTACAAGAACACACACACACACACACACACACACACACACACAGATTGGTGGCAGAGTCTGAATGACCCGGGGCCTCTGATACGACCAATAATCAGTGCTGACACACTTCCTCTTTGATTGCCTGTTGCACGTGATGTCTTTCATCTTTACAGGGTCATAATCCTTGCTCCCTGAAACACCCTCCCCTGATTCCCCTCCACCTCTTTGGCCCCTTTGCAGTTTTGTAGTTTACAGCCGCTGGTTGCAGCAGCAGGCACAGGGCAGGCCATCATCTTAAATGAGCCCAAGCTGTCCCTTCTGTTGAAGTGCAGCCACCTTACACACCTGAAGCCTGCGGGCGTGTAACGGCAAAGGCTCCCCGAGCCCGGCAGGTACAAGCCTTTTACAAGGCCCCTAATGACGGCCTGCTGGCTCGAGAAGGTGGCTGCTGGTGTAGCAGTCTGGCCTAGCGCCTGTGTCTCTGACGTTGTACCTACTGTATAAGTGATGCTGTAAGTGCTACTGTACATTTATTCCTGCTGGTGTTGGAATGGAAAATGTTGTCAGGTTTCACTGATATTTATAGAGTCATGATGCCAGTGGAGGTTAAAAAAAGGCAATACCGTGGAAAGCTGAAGATGGAAGTTGGAAAAACAAACAAAAGTTCAAGTAGAGTTGATTAATTGTTTAAAATGACTCAGCAGGATACAGTTCATACGTTTGAAAACAGGAAAGCTTTTGGGCTGATTTGAAGTCAAAGGTTAGTTCTCTGAGAAATCTGTCTGCTCTGCAGTCAGTGGCTAAAAACGGACCAGAACGTTCTGCTCCACGGTGCTCTCTACCTCTGCCTCCGGTGGTGGGTTCACCTCATTGCCTGCTCCCACACCCCCCACCCCCCAGCCTTACTGGGTCAAATACGTCAGTGGGTATTAAAGCCCTTGAGGCTTTCGGATGATGCAGAGAGGTGCTGAGATCCAAATGGAGCGTTCCCTCACGGGCACGCGTCTGTAGCACCCGCTGGCATAGATGCACAGGTCTACTCTGCGTGACACAACGGATGACTAATGAAGTGCTATTTCAGGGCCCCAGTGTGACCTCACACACATCCATAATCACACCCACAAGTTCTCCCAGCAGCCGTGCATGTGGGGTGCATGTGTGTGTGTGTGTGTGTGTGTGTGTGTGTGTGTGTGTGTGTGTGTGTGTGTGTGTGTGTGTGTGTGTGTGTGTGTGTGTGTGTGTGTGTGTGTGTGTGTGTGTGTGTGTGTGTGTGAGAGCAGTGTTCCGCGTCATTTAGAGGTGCTTCAGTGCAACCAGAACTGATGAGATCCTAATGACTTTATTTACAAAGGGCAGCTGCACCTATCCACAGTCAATCATAACTACAAAAAAATGTGGAATTTCCTCAGAACTTTGATGCTGTGCTTTTTTTAAATTTACATTTATATTATCCAATTACAAGAAAGGGGCTTTATGCTTCATTATTTAACATAATGCACTCAAAACACCATGCCTCTAACACCACTGTAAAGCCTCTTTTAAAGGAGACATCCTATGTAAAGCTTACATTCTGCATCTATTTGTGCTGCCATAAAGGTACCTGCTGCCTCAATGTAGACTCCTAACATGAAAAAAATTAATCTATTTGGTTACTGTCAGTGTTTGGTTGTAGGGATTACGTGACTAAAATGAGCAGTTTCAAAATATTCCCATTTGTGATGTCACAAACAGGGTAATCAGCATAAAACCTCTCAAGTGCAAGAGAGCTGCTGCTGGAGGATCAGCAATTCTGAGCCCTTCTTAGATATTGGAGCTTCTCAGCTTATAGCAGCTTGAGCAGGGCATGAGTTGGTGTGGCCAGCTCTAACTTGTTCCCTTAAAGTGACAGAGCACTGAACCGCACATTCTGGAAAGTACTGAAAAAAATAAAAATGCTGAAACCCCTTCATGTGAGAGGGATTTAGTGAACTTGGTAGACATCTTTCGAATCGGCCTTAGAACTATTATAACTCAAGAAAAAAAACGTTGTAATAAAGATTAAAGTCCCATTAGTCATCACATACTGGTGAAAGGTGTTCTCCGCATTTGACCCATCCCCTTGGGTGAGCTGCAGACACTGCTGCGCTCAGGAACTATTTGGAGGTTAAACCCCCAATTGATCCCCTTAATGCTGAGTGCCAAGCAGAGAGGCATTGGGTCCCATTTTGAAAAGTCTTTGGTATGACCCAACTGTGGATTTTAACCCACGATCTCCCAATCTTAGGCTTAGACACTCGTACCACTAGGCCACTGAGCTGGTACAAAATGTCCCTTTTTAAGAACTGAAACCCCATTCCATTTTTCCACCGCTTTTCTCATTAACTCCATCTATGAGTAGCAATTTCTAAAGCCTGTCATGGTGTTTAAAAATGTGTGTCAAATTTAGATAACAGTTTCATGTCTCTGATTGGATTTTTACAGTATAAACTATTCCTACGATCATTACCAAGGAATCCTTGGTTTGTTCCTAAACAAGGCCAAACCGATATTGTGAAGTATTCCCTACCTGGCGTTTGGAACGTGCCAGTGCACCAGTATGTTTTATGACACTATTAGGAATGTGAGCTAGGGAGAGCATAAGTAGGGCCGAGGCAATTAGCATGCCAAGTGGCCCTTTATGATAGCTGTAAAGGTGCTGGATGGAATCCCCAAAACAAAAATAAGGATGCATTCCAATTTAGGGTCTAATGACCAGCAGGGGGTCAAGTTAATACTTTTAGGCAACATTTACGTTTGCAGTGAAACCTCGGCGGACGTAAAGGGAGTGAAGGTGGCATAGTTAATGGTTGAAAAGTTGCCAGGTACAATCGGTCACATCTAGCAGAAGCGCCTCTCCCCTTCATTTTGCCACCTTTAAAACAATTTTAAACATTTCACAGAAAACAGACAATTAGTCACTGTTCGGTATGTGTCGTGTCCCTGCAGCTAATAGGCAAAACTTTTCCATATTGCTGCGATTCATTTTTTCTCTCGGGTTTTTTTCCCTTTGCTTACTGGCTTATGTCACCTTGGTATGACATTTCTTTCAACACTGCAGATTTGAGTGCTGACTCCTCCGGTGTGCAGATGTTTGAAGTGTACACATTAGTGTTTCCCTGGAAACATTTAATAACCCTCATGCTCCATTAGGTGTCACCTAAGATAAAAAAAAGAGAAAAACACTGAGATTTTTTGCACTTTTGTGAAAGAGCTGGAGAATAACAATGTCATTAAAATGGCACTCCTTTAAAAATTTTTACCTGAAATTTGTTTATTTATTCACCTATCAGAGTTTTTTTTTAGTTTTTTTTTACTTGACTGTCATCACCTTGTCTGTCTTGTGCCCACACTGGCATCATCAAATCGCTGTCAAAAGGCTCGCCGCGAGAGGGGAGAAAGAGAATGAAAGACGGCGAGATGGGGAGAGAGAGGAGCAGGTCCCGGGATGCTTTATGGGTAACGCTGTTAAACAAAGCACGATGCGCGGTACGCGGCGCCCCTTCAGCAGAGCACACTTCAAAGCCTGTTTTGCACTTGTACTGTCAACATGTGGGAGCAGAGAGGAGCGAGGGTGGAGGAGCCTTTGAGCAGCGTTGGGTCTTAACACACCTCTTCTCCTGTCTGTTTTCCCTTTAAGCTCCCCACTTGTGTTCCAAATTGGTTCTGTGCTTGCTGCATTACCTCACTTTTTTACTTTTACCCTATTCTGATGTCTTTTATTTTGCTAACGCCCCACTTTCTCCTTGCCTTCCACAGCTTTCTCGTCTGTTTTTGACTTTAACTAGCTCTTGTTGTCTGCGCTGGTTTGGTGTTTGCCTGTGTGTGTGTGTGTGTGTGTGTGTGTGTGTGTGTGTGTGTGTGTGTGTGTGTGTGTGTGTGTGTGTGTGTGTGTGTGTGTGTGTGTGTGTGCGTGTGCGTGTGTGTGTGTGTGCGTGTGCGTGTGTGTGCGTGTGTGCGTGTGTGTTATTAGGTGAGGTGAGCGGGGGAGCCAAGGGTGTAGCATCAGGCAGGCCTGTCACCTGTAAGGTGGAATTGAAC